ACAATTAAAATATTCAAGAATTCAAAAATAAAAATACAATAATAAAATAAAAAGCAGTCATATAACAAATCTAGATAATACATAATCTTGGAAAGACAACATTCTATGTTATTGGATTATAATTTATATATTTCCAACAAATTTTGGAAATGTGTCTTCTATCCAGAATATTAAATGGCTATCTTTTTGAACTGAATTGTGATTATTTTCTCATTGTCCTTCCATATTTAAGCCAGTACTTGATTATCATATGCATTCAAAGTGCATTTCTTATTTTTTTCTGAAGGTCATTATTGAAATGGAAAATATATCTGCTTGTGTTCATTGTAGACTTTGAAAATTGCAAAGTGTCTTCCACAAAATTTATACTAAGCTGAAAATTACATTAGTTGGTTTGTGTTGTTTTAAAATCTCATCGGTTTTGTATCATAACATATTGTGTGGTTAATTCTTTCTGTAAAATGAGCAGATTGTGTTTTCATTTTCTATGATGTTCACCTTTATATATTACAAAGTCAAAATTTCTGTCATACAGTCAGTCCTTTTTGTAACTGAAGAAGCCATCTTAGTTACTTAATACTTCTTGTGCAATTTGATTTGTGCTTTATACACGCAATAGTAAACCAGTTACTCTACTTCAAAAGCCACTTAAATCACTACAGTTTATTCTCTGTTGCAATTTACTGCTTTATTATGTAGAACACTGCAAAAGATTAAGTGAAAAGCTGCATAAATTCTAGTGAATTACTGAAAATTGGATCACTTTCCTAGTGAAAGTTTTAAATTTTTAGTTACCAATTTCATTGTCAATTACAGCCCATGCTGGAGTACTTGGCTAGGAACCTGCTGTCTTATAACAACTGTAGAAACTGTGAAATCAAGAATGTCACTATCTCATTTTATCTTTGAAAATTGTATTCTGAACTGACACTGAGATTTTCATGGAGGTAACCTTTCATTGTGTCATATTCTAAGAGTACTTCCATCTTAAAATTCAGGTGTGTAATGGAGACAGCAGATTGTATTCTTTAGATTTTTAATTTTGCTCCTTGACCTGGTGCTATGCCAAGATGGTGATGTAATGAATATTTTGATCTCTACAATTTTGTCATTTAACATACGAAGCTCATATTAATATTTTCCCCTGATCATCATCATTCTATAAATATGCAGTCATATAGAGTGTCAGCTGTTAAGAAACACACATCATATATGTGTTCGTCATTTGTAGTGGCAGCATTGATGTATGTACCTATATAGTTGAGTGACTGTTATGTTAATAATAGTATACTTTCAAGCCCCATTATTGAGTACGTGTGTTTTGTTGACCATTTTAAATAATATACTAATGTTGGTGTTTTAGATGCATGAAAATATCGCTTTTACTTAACAAACGATTAATTTAATTATTGGAGTAATATAGGCTAGTACTAAACTTTGAAAAATAAATTAGTTATGAATAAGAGTTTCCTTTATGTAGGCTCTTGGCAGCTTCCATTTTATATGTTTAGAAAGCAGTATTCTGGTGTTATATGGTCAAGATTCCTGTGTGGTTCATAGTCTGTCCAAGAACAGCTCTGTGCCAATGTTATCTTCAGAATCTTGATGCTGTAGCAACTTCCTATAACCTGACCTTAAGATTGTGTTTTACTCTTGTTTCATTTTCCTATCTGTGTTTCATCAAAAATGAATATTTGTTTATATAATTTTTGACTGTGTCTGTTGAGACTTACTATGTTCAAATTATATCAAAATAACTTTTATACACATTAAACCACTTGATTGATACTTATCTGACTTTATTTGTTTTCTTGTATGTACTTCCAAACTCAGTGGAATTGTGTTTGTTTCAATTGTACAATAAATTGCGTCTGTATACACAGCTAAATGATACTAATTGTAAGCTAGATGAACATTAAAATACATGCTGGTCATTATTGGTGGAAAAGTATGCATTCAGTAAATATGAGCTTATTGTATCAAATTTGTTTTTGCATGACTTTCAGCAGCCTGTGTGTTCACCATTTATACATAAATACAAGGTGGTTCAAATATGACTGGGACTGATTTTTTTTAAACCAAAATTGCCAAACACTTACTTGCACATGTCAGTCTTCAACGTACTTCCCTCCGGAGTCAACACATTTTTTCCAACGTTCTGGAAGCATCCTGATGCCCTTTTCAAAGAAGTTTTGTGATTGGCAGCATATCCACTCCCGAACATTCTGGATGATGGCGTCATTGTCCACAAACCGCATGCCTTGCAAGTCTGATTTGAGCTTTCTGAACAGGTAGAAATCACTTGGTGCCAAATTGGGACTGTACGGCGGATGTGTCAGAAGGTTCCATTTCAGTTTCCAGAGGGTTTCCATTGTTTTGGCCATATGGGGGCATGCATTGTCTTGAAGGAAGGCTACCCACTTTCCACCTCTCTTCTGCTTGGATTGGATCTTTTCCTTCACGTCTATTGCCAGGAGGTCTGAGTAATAAGCTGCATTGACTGTTCTGGCATCTATCAGAAAGTCTACATGGATAACATCCTGCCAGTCCCAGAAGAACGTTGCCATCACTTTTCCTGCCGAATGGCTCCTCCGCGCTCTCTTGAGTTTGGGAGAACTGGTATGCCACCACTTGCGTGACGATTGCTTGGACTCGGGAATGAAGTAATGTACCCACGTTTCATCGGTGGTCACTATAGACTTCCAAAATGCATCACCTTTGTCTTCAAACTGCTGTAGGAGACGACTGGCAACTTACATGCGCACCATTTTGTTCA